CTTAATGAATTGCATTTATTGCTTTCTTAATTGGCTTAATTTCATGTAGTAGTATGTCATTATGTTTACAAGCTTAATTCACCTTTATCATTTTGTAATCACATTTTCAAAAGGGGAAAAAGAATTATGGCCAGGGGTGATTTTGGTGGGGAGAGAGCAGTGACAACTTATTCAGAGGTGTACCCTTTCCATTTTTCATAGTTGAAATTTTTTTGGTTTGTTGGTCCTTTCAATTAGAAGCAATTTGAATAACATTGAACGTGGTCTTTCTTGAATAGTCGACATGCTGAAAATCCATTTATTAATGTTAATTGAATTTCTCATGGATATATATACACATAAACACATCTCTATATATTTAGCATCTGAAAATAGGGAATTTAGTAGGGAAGGGGATTTTGGGGAAAGGTCCAAGCAGAGATGATAGGGGAAAGGTGTTCCAGGTAGAAGAAACCTTGAGCCCAATATAGAGTTGGGGTCTTATGGGGACATTGGGCATGGCATTTTTGTTTGGCTGAAGTGTGTGCATGTGGTGATGGGGAAAGGTGCTTGAAGGAACGTTAGGGGAGATGATAGATAGTTTGGGGCCAGAACTTAGAAGGTGCCAGGAGTATGAACTTTATTTGGAGGCATCAGGGAGCTATTAAATATTTTTGAATAGAGGAATGGCATCATCTAGCTGATGCTTTAGAAAAATGACTTGTGCTTCTATTATTTGAAATTTTAATAAGCATGCAACACTTATGTAATCAGCAAAAATGATAAAGGTAAAAGAAAAATATATCTAGTAGTATCATTTAGGTTAGATTAGAAAGTGAAAAAGTAGAGATAAGGAAACCAATGAGGAAGGAGGTTTATGTAATTATTTACAATATGAATAAACCACACTGATGTCTGCTCTTTTGAAACAGTCATTAATATTAAGTAGTATATTATTTTATGGGTTAAGTTCTTTTTGTTGTAAGTTTTTGGCTTAAGTAGAGAAGGGAGCATTAAGATCATTGGGATGTCTTGCAAAAACTCAAGGCAGTCAAGGTTCTGTAGCTGGACCTGAGAAAGGTCTAGAACCAGGAGCAAAAAGCTATTGGTAAGCCTCCTTTCCATGCTCAACTCCTATATTCCAGCCAGCAGGACAGACACACAAACTGATCCTTGCTCATGCATTCAGGTCTGAGGGGTAGGACTTTGATGTTATTGCACTCAAAGATGAAGTTATATTTACTGTTTTATAGCTAGTGCAATCAACTTTATGACCAGGAGAGTATAAACACACTGTGGGAATTTCCTTCTTTAGATTGGAGAGTTAGTCAAGAGAGGTCATTATGAGTTAGAAGAAAGCCCAAAGGGTGTTTACTATAATTATACACTTTGAGTTTTTACTGATGTTTAACATACCGGTTGAAAGATAGCAGACTACATTGAATTTAGAGAAGTAATATGAAAATTGTGCAGAAATTTCCCCCCAGTAAGGTACAGAGTTTAAGTTGAAACTTAATAAAACTGGTTACCCTTGAGGGATTGTGGGACATATTGACTGAGAGGAGACGAGTGCTGGGGTGCTGGAAATGTTCAATATCTTGGTCTGGGTAGTGTAGTGATTATATATGTATGTGTCAAAATTCATCAAGATGTGTGCACTTGTTGTATGTAAGCAATATCTCTAAAAGTCTAGGCAGAGTTGACATGTTTGATTTATGTGCCTTGCCTTGTCATGTAGATGCCCATATATCATTAGAAATCAATTAAGTTCTCGTTTATTTTAGGTAGATATGTTTTTGATAGATGTTCGTCTGTCACATAATTCTGAGTGTTTCAGAACGGTAAATATGGTGACATTTTAAATACATGCTATAAAAAAGTAATACTTGGTTTACTTTTTCCCTTCATTTAGGAGCTGTGACTGATGAGAATTAAAGGCCATGGATGAAGATGGACTTGAATTACAACCACAAGAGCCACATTCATTTTTTGATCCAACAGGTATAACTACTAGGGTTGTTACATTTTCCAACTACCAAATTTGGAATTGGTTATCAAGTAGATGAATTGCTAGACTCTGACATTGATATTCACACTTAGGTATCTTGTTATCTTGTCAAGCCTGCAAATATTAAAGGGAACACATCATTGCCCTCCTTAAAAATTTGGCTCCCTCACAACCAGCTCTCATATTCTTGTCAGCAACAGCAGCTGTGTCAAAACCTTAGTGTTATCTTCAGTTATTCTCATCTTGCCCAGTTATAGCACTAAGTCCTGTTCTTTTTTTGACATGTTCCTTGCTTACATCTCTTCATTCTGTGTCCTACCATATAGACAGGTTCTGTCATCTCATTCTTAGTCTGCAATAACTTTTATGTTGTTTTCCTCACACTTAGTCTCTTTTATATAGCCCACCACTCAGAGCACTCATTGTAAAATAACACATGGATCAAGTCATTTCTCAGTTTTCCATTACCCAGCAGGTAAAGTATAAACCTAAGGCCCTCCACATTCTGACTCCATCCTACTTTTACAACCCCGTCTCACAGGTTGACAAAAGAAGCCTTTTGCTTCAGTAAGACAGATTCTTATCTCACTCCCCAAACTGTACAAGGAAAGTTATATTCATGAAGTTCTAAAAGTAGAAAAAAATTATTCACAATTTTAGATTATCCATGGTTCCAATTGTATAACATCGTAAAGTGATTATGCTAGGTTTTATGAGGTAAGATGGTTTTATATCACATTAGCTAGCTGTCCTTATAAATAAAATATTAATGAGTTTTCCATTCTACTCGAAATGATCATATTGCAATATATTAAGGAAATAGCAATTAACAATATCAGAAAATTAAACATTGGCAATTTTTAATTTTAACTTTCTTTAATCTCTAAAACCGCTTGGGTGGTGCTCTATGTATTTTTCCTAATAATTTAGGATAGTCTTTTGACTCAAGTTTGGTAATTTCAGTTTGATACTGATAAATGCAAAATCATAATTTTTTCTTCATTAGAACATGAAGTATAACAAATGTGCTCGAAAGAGAGACTAAGCTCTTTGAGGAGAAACACACAGTATTTACTAGCTCAGTCTTGCCACAAGCAAGCGTAGGTCATGGGCTCAGTGGTAGATTGAAGGGCTATTGCATTTTAGCCCTGAATGTTAACACTTATAGTGTTCGTTTATCTTTGAGCAAGTCACTTAATCTGCCAGGGCCTCCGTTTTCATATGTCCTAATAATAATGAAACCTCTCATTACAGTTTTACAGAACACTTCCCATACATTCCCATTTGATCATCACAACAGTCCTGTGAGGTATGCATGGCAGATACTACTGTCCTCATTTTACTGATGAGGAAACTGGAACTCAGAGGTTAAATGACTTGCCCAAGGTCACAAAACTAATAAGTGTCTAAACCCTGCTCTCTGGTTTAGATTTTTTAACCATTGCTCTTGCCACTAAATGCTTTCATCTTCATGTCTGCAAAATGGAGATTAGAGTGATCTGTTGCTTGGTGTTAATATTGACAATATTGAAAACAAATGAGTATAAAGCATTTTGTAGAAGTTCTATAGAAATTAAAGCAAACATACTCTTGGATATTAACTGGCTTTAAGATTTCCTACATTTTTTAAGGTTCTTTGGCTCTTGCTGATCATTCGTGTTTGTTAAATAAAGCCATGTGTGTCTCTGAGGGCCTGGCCAGTGATACAGTCATTGAGTTAGGCAGCTGCTTCGACTCAGCCTGGTCTGAGTCACATCCAGAAACACGAATAGAATGAATAGTTTTTTAGGTAAGACTTTTATAAAACTTTGTTTGCTTTTCTCTAGACCAGAGGCCAAGGTACCAGATTCGTTTTCTTTTATCTTACGTTATGTTTTTGGCAAGGATAGCTGATTTAGAGTTCCATTTGTGGCATTCAAACAAAGTAATATTTACTGAGCACCATAATCTCTGCAAACTGTGTGATCTTGGTGAAGTCATTTAATCTCGCTGGGCTTTGATTGATTCAACCCTCTACCTTCATTCTTAACTGCAGAGTGGACTAGAGTAGGGTTTTTTATGTTCTGAGGAACTGCCTGTGGGATTGGAGTATGGGGGTTTGGGAGGAGGCTGAATGGAGGCAGCTAACCTCACCCTCCACTCTCCAGAGCAGCTGCACTTTTCTTCATCTCATCTATCCACGGAGGCTCCTTAACCAGTTTCTTTTCCTTTTCAATTGTGGCCTTCCAGCCTTCTTTTCATTTATGTCCCAATCCTTTTATACCCTAGATTCACAATATAATTTCTAAATTTCCATAGTCATAAATGGAGGATATTGGTGGGATACTGTATCAGAATAAAGAGGGAGAGAGGAGAAAAATAAAACGGAAGTAAACATGGGAGAAAGAGAAAGAAGAAAATGTATGAGTTGAGGAGAGAGATGGAGCAAGAAGGAAAAGAAATGAAAAACACATGTAATGAAGGAAAATGGTATATTTTCTACCTGAAGTTGCTTTACTTATTTTTATAATCATTCCTTAAGTACCTATGCAGATGAGTTTAATTTTAGTGAGCTTAGACTTATTTTCATGAATATTCTTCTTTGTGACTCCCTCAGTTGTTTGTTTATATATTATTTCCTTATCTATTCATTGATTTGGAAAGAGTATAAACGTTCTTGTATTAAAATTTTTCATTTCTGACATTAAAAAATAGATTTTCTCTATTTCTTCAATGTTTTAACGTTTGAGAAAAGTGAGGCGCTAGTCTGATTTCCTGGTAGAAATTAAATAACGTTTACATTAATCGAGGTAATCATGCATGCCTACCTGAAATTTGTGATTTTAATTTTTTTTAAGGTGCTACACACATGGATGGTGATCAGATTGTTGTGGAAGTACAAGAAACTGTTTTTGTTTCAGATGTTGTGGATTCAGACATAACCGTGCATAACTTCGTTCCTGATGACCCAGACTCAGTTGTAATCCAAGATGTTATTGAGGACGTTGTCATAGAAGATGTTCAGTGCTCAGATATCATGGGTGAAGCAGATGTATCTGAAACAGTCATCATTCCAGAGCAAGTGCTGGACTCAGATGTAACTGAAGAAGTTTCTTTAGCACACTGCACAGTCCCAGATGATGTTTTAGCCTCTGATATTACTTCAGCGTCAATGTCTATACCAGAACATGTCTTGACAAGTGAATCTATACACGTGTCTGACGTTGGACACGTTGAACATGTCGTTCATGATAGTGTAGTAGAGGCAGAAATCGTCACTGATCCTCTGACAACTGACGTAGTTTCAGAAGAAGTATTGGTAGCAGATTGTGCCTCTGAAGCAGTCATAGATGCCAATGGGATCCCTGTGGACCAGCAAGATGATGACAAAAGCAACTGTGAGGACTACCTTATGATTTCCTGTAAGTCTTGGGGTATAGTGATTGTCAAAGGTATTTTTGAAGGCTGTTTTTCCTAACTTATATCAGGGGTGAAATTATCTTGACTTCTATAAAATTAAATTTCATAGACCTTCATCATTCTGGTTTGGAGCCTGTAAGATAACTCAAAATTAAGAAAAATGAAATGGTACAGAGTAAAGAGTCATTTCTCTTTAAGCACACAGTAGAAAGATGAGATTTCTTCACGCTAGAAAAATAGATGGAAAGAAATAGTGAGCTCAGTGAAATCATGAAGGGTGTAATTAGGCTGTTACCAGCCTTTATTAGAATTCGGAACCCTTTTGAAACTTAAAAAGAATTCAACTTGGAAAAAAATGTATAAACTGCTTATATTCTTGTATATGAATATACAGTACTAATGTAATATATATGCTTATGTAAAATATCATTTATACAACAGATAGCATGGAAAAGAGCTCTGGCATAGCATTGAAACATAAATGATTCCAAAACATGATTTCGAGTATGATGGACTCCTATCAGGTTATTGAAGAAAAGTAAGGTGTTTTAGAACACATCTCTAAATGTTTAACTTATATCTGGGAGGATACCTATGTCTTTGTACAGCGTATTTCTTGGTACCACTTTCAGAGATAAAGTCCTCAGTAGGATAGACCATGTTTCTGACCCATATTGAAATTCTTATGCTTTAGGAATTAAACGTCAAAGACTCACATATTATTTGCTTATATAAATTCATGAGACTGTTTCTTTGCTTGCATATCTGTTGTAATACAGGAATTTAATATAACATTTCGGAGTCTAGCATTTTAGGAAATACCTTTTAAAATTCTTGAGATTTTGGAGATCAGAGAATCCTTCGTGTAAAGAGGAAGAAAACGCCTTTATTCAACATATTGTTTATTGGGCCCCTACTGTGTGTCACATATAAGTAGTGCAGATATGGATATGTACTACGTAAAAAAAAAAAAAAAACCATAAAACCATTGCCTTTGGAGAGCTTATTACAGTCTACAGTGGGAGAGAAAGATAGGTTGCACTATGATGCAGAAATGTGACTAAACTGCTGTGGGGACAGGATGGAGTTGCTGACCTTTGAATTCAAGGACGAGTTCTAGTTTTACAAGATGAACAAGGGCATGGGTGGGAGGGAGACATTCTAGGCAAATGGTAAAAAGTCTTGGCCTTTGCTGGGAATGATGGGAAGTTTAGGATGTGCTTGTATATCTTTGTGCACTTTCTGTTTAATTCTTTAGAATAAATTTCTAGAAATAGAATTGGTGGATCGAAGGGTATACTACA